TGGATGAATCTGAGAGTCATGATAGGCACCTTTTAACCCATGAGCTGTCTCTATGGTCCCCAGTCAACTTTTTATGTGTTCTTTAAAGATAGGCTAGCTGTGTACCACAGCTCACCAGCCTCCTTGACTGGCCTTCAACCTATAATCCTCAGCCTCTTGAATGCAGAGAATACAATTTTGTCCACACCAAGTCTGCCACAGTTATGTGATAATACAGAGTTATTAGAAAGCAATATTGCAGTGGTTCTCAAATTGCATTATTAGAACCAACAAAAAGGTGCTGGTTAATCAGATCCAGGCTAGCTGTCACTTGTCACACAAGCCTTTGAACCTGAGTTCAGTCCCCAAGAACCCACAAAGTTGTCCTCTGATCTCCACTTGAAATGATCAGAGCGCCCACCCAATGTCATACACATACAAAAGTTAAATTGGTATAACAAAAGTGAGATTTCAGTGTACATTTAAAAAGATTTTAATACAAATTCGCAACGCAGAAGAGGCAGGAACAGGAAGGAATTGAAGACCAGCTATGGCTACACGAGACCCTGCCAAAACAGAAATGAAGTAAATTCATAGACTAAACCTCAACAACTAAAACGGTTTCTGTGGAGTTGAGGGACTGTATTCCTAGGTGTGATGATGAATATTGCCTATGGGAGATAATCTACACTGGGTTAATTGCTATGGGAAAACTCATCTAAAATGCAAGCACCCCCTTCCCATAGCTTCTGAGACTGAAGAGTGGGCTGAGCATAAATCTCATGTTTCCTGAAGCTGCTGCCACTCTTCAAACTAGGCCAAAATAAATACACCCAAGTTTTCTTGTCAGGTGTTTTGTGACACCCCTAAGACAAGTAACTAACACGCTGTTACTCAACCCCCACCCTTCTGTGGGACTGAGTGAGGTCCTGATGAAGGGCAGAGACTGTTCTGAAGTCATTTCTCTCCTTCCACCTTGTTTGAGGCAAGGTCTCTTCCTGTCTCTGTTGCTCCATTGTTGACCAGTTACATGTGCAAATACATTCTCAAGCATGCAGCTTAATCTCTACATAATACCCGGAAGTATCTGGGACCCCAAACTGCAGTTGCACTGTCAAATTTAGTAATTTAAGGAAAAAAAAAAATCTGACCTGAAGACAAGCTCAGACAATTATATCTGAGAACTAGACCCTTGAGTACTGGAGTGGATCTGATCTATACTATTATTTGTTTTCTGAAAAGTTTCCTTGCTACTTTACAGTATAGAATAAAGTATAATAAAAAAATTTTAAATGGGGAACTAGTCTGAGTTGGGGTGACTATATGTGCAAATGCATTGGAAACTTAGTAGTAATGACATATTGTCTGAGGGAAGAGATACTGAGATGGGTAAAACATACCATTAGGATGTCCCTTTGGGGACATTTCCAGAAACTAGAAGATATGAAGACTGAATTAATAAGGTAATTAATGGCTTAATTCACGATTGGATTCAGAGTCTGAGTAGATGCAGTTTGAGTAGACTGAGGAAGATGATGGTTAGGTAGAAGTTGCAGATTTGGGGGAAAGGAGAGTACATGTCTTTGAACTTGGTTTGTAACAAAGGATGAACTTGGTCATTCTACTTTTACCTGTGAAACTTCCTTTTATCCTCTCGTTTTGTTTCTTTTGTATTTTTGAGACTATTTTCATAGCCATGGCTGTCCTGGAACTCACTATGTAGAGCAGGCCAGCCTTGAGCCTACAGAGATTCACCTGCCTCTGCCTTTCTAGTGCTGGGTATAAAGGCATATGCCACCACGTGTGACTTATAAACTATTCAAGTGCTTGCCATAGTCTATCATTACCAAAAATAGAAGCAATAGCAGTAACTGCCATCAAGAGGTTGGTGTTTAGTGCTTCAGAATGATGCCCATCTTTGATTACTGTTAGCTGAACTCCACAGCAAAATCTTGATAACTAGTCATGTGTGTGCTTGGTGTTCTGCCTTCCGCAGCCAGAAGAGGGCCACAGATCCGCTGGAGCTGCAGTTACAGTTGTGAACCACCATGTAGATGCTAGGACTTAAAGTCAGATCCTCTAGAAAAGCAGCTGAGTCATCTTTCCAGCCACCTCTCAGGTTCCTTGTCACTGTAAACTTGGGAAACTGTCCTGGCTATGTTCTAGAGGTTCTGTCTAGTAAGTTGTCTTCTCCTTTTCACTTGTCTCTAGGAGTTTGTTGGGGGGGGGGGTTGTTTTTTGTTTAACTTCCTGATTTCTTGGATGATTCACTGTTCAAAAATACACTTTATAATATGAATTTTGTCATTGTTGTTGAGGATTTGTGTCCAGTGATACCAGTTTTGGAGAAGGTATCATACCCCGATGAGATTTTAAAAAATGTTTATTTTCTGTCTGTTGGGTGGGATGTTCTGTATATTTCTGTTAAGTTGATCCATAATGTGTTTTGGCAGTGATGTTTATTTGCTTAGTTTTTATTTGGGAGCTCTAACTATTAGAGTACGGTATTGAAGCTCCTACTATTCCTGTGTCACTCATACCTCAAATTGTGTGTTTTATGAAACTAAGGATTACAATATTCAGTCTATGAAGTATTTCTCTTGATAAATCATTCTTGACATAATATGTAGTATCCCCTTTTTAATTCTTTCTTTCTTTCTTTTTTCTTTTTTTCTTTTTCTAGACAGGGTTTTTCTGTGTAGTTCTGGCTGTCCTGGAACTCACTCTGTAGACTAGGCTGGCCTCGAACTCAGAAATCTGCCTGCCTTTGCCTCCCAAGTGCTGGGATTAAAGGTGTGCGCCACCGCTGCCCGGCTATATTTTCTAGTTAGCTTTGATTTGACATTTACTTTATCTGATATTTGTTTTGTAATTTGTTTTACATTCTTTGATAGTTTGTTTTGTTTTGTTTTAATCGTTGCTAGGTAAATGTGTTTTAGGACACAGTATGCTACTGGCTTTTGTATTCTCTACTGAATTCTATGACACTTTCAAGGAGGATCTCATACCAGCTCTATTCCATAAAATAGAAAGTTCATTCTACAAAGATAGAATTATTAGTCTCACATGAAAACCAGGTAAAGGCACAACAATTTAAAAGAAAACTACAGACTTCTTCTCTTTAATGAACATAGACACAAAGATTCAACAAAATACGTGCAAACTGAATTTAGAAATACATTTAAGAAGATCAGGTGAGGCAAGTTTGGCTCAACATCGGTAAGTCAATAAATGTAATACACTAAAGAAACAAACTTAAAGACAGAAACCACATACATAATCTTACTGACAAAAAGTCTTTTTGACAAAGTTCAACATGGCTTTGCGGTAAAAGTCCTGGAGGTGTAAGGGTAGATTGGATCATGCTTCAAAATTAACAGAGGCTACATTACAACACACCTAACACACCTACAGCCAAAATAAAGTGGAGAGAGCATTTTTTCTATATTCAGGAATGAATCAAGGTTGCCCATCCACCCCACTCTTTCAGGATACTGTTTAAAGTCTTAGCTATGGAAATTAGACCAAAGTACGTGATTTAAAAAAAAATAGGAAAAGAATCAAACTATTCCTATTTGCAAATAATGTGATTCTATACTTATAAGACATTATAGAGGAGTTTGAGAGATGACCCCAAAGTTAAGAGTACTGGCTGCTCTTCCAGTAGACTCAGGTCTGAACCCAGCACCCACATGGCTGTTCACAATCTCTTGTAACTTCAGTTCCAGGGGCTCCAACACCCTCTTCTAGCCTCTGCAGGCTTCAGGCACATACATGATACACATGTATGTGTGCAGGCAAAACATTCATACACACAAACTATTTTTTTCTAAAGACTTATAGAATCTACTAGGAAACTTTAATAAACAGCAGGATACAAAAATCAGTATTTAAAAGAACAAAAAGCTGGGTATGCTGGGTATACTAATTAGTATAAACATAGTTTATACTAATGCATCTCCAGGCATCTTTGGATCATTTCAACATTGACCAACGTATCTACTAATATGTTAAGACTTGCGGTGGGGGTTTAGGGGGTGGGGTGATACTTTATAATTTCTATTTTGTTCCAGGTAACCCTCTAGAGATGTGGGTTTAAAGTCGCATTGAAAGTCTATTCCAGCTAGCTGGGACCACGCTCAGATACTCAGAGACCTAGGTCCAAGTGTCCAGATCAACAGTTTTTTAAAGGCAGAAGCCAAGATCAGGTACTTTGCTTGGCAGCTGTAAGAGGGCTTCTCAGAAGCAAGAAGTCTTAACAGAAGCTAAGTTAGCTGACCTTTGGCTCATTGAATACAGTTGGGTAATTTCCCACGGGATTCTTCATCAAGATCAGAGTCTAAACCTGAAACTGCCTCAGCAAGAGTACAAGACGGAGGAACTTTTGCACTGTCTTGCCGTGTCACCACCTGACGACCAGAATGACTGGCGTTTGTGTCTGGTTCATAAGTTCCCTCGATTTAGTCTGACAGGCAGACAAAGGCATAATTTCAGCCTAGGCCATTGCTTGGTGGTGGGGACCCTCACCACTGAGTCACCCCCTTTTCCTTGCAAACCTGGGCTCACCATCACTCCTGACAGATGCAGGAACGTCAGACACAAGGGTTAACAGCACTGTTCCCTCATGCATTCGTTGTTCCAGTGACTCCTAAACATGATTTGGCCTCTGAAGTGGGGGGGACGGAGGCCCTCCCGGGGGTGTGCTGTGCGGCCCAGTAGCCTGCGCGCTGGCTGCCGTCCAAGGCCTGTCTACACCTCGCCTCCGGGTGACACCGGGCAGCAACTTGAGTCCCCACGACCCACGCGATTCCAAGCCTTCCTCAAAGACCCGAGTGCGACGGGGAAAGCGACGAGAAACCTGACAGCCGAACGCCCAGCCACTGAGGCCAGAGCCGGAAGCCCACCGCGGCAACTTCCGGACCTCAGACCCGGAAGTGGGCCCAAGTGCGTGGCCCACGGCGGGCGTGGCCGCGGCCGCAGCTCCAGGTTCGAAGCGGCCTCGGCTGGAGGGCGCGGGCGGCATGGAGGCGCCGCTGTCACCGCGCGAGTCGGCGAGGTTCGTGGCCGAGAACAGTCGCGACGTGCTCGTGGACCGCGAGGGCGTGCGCAGGGCGGCCGAGCTGCTGCTGCCCGCGGCCGCGGCGTGGCGCGTGGAGCAGTGGAAGACCCTGCACGAGCTCAACCCGCGCGGGGCCGACGAGGCTGCGCTCGACTGGGTGTTCGTGGTGGACTCGCTCAACTTCTCCTTCTGGGCCGAGCGGGAGGAGCGCAAGTGTGAGGTGCGCTACGGCGGGACGGCCTACACCGGCTACTGGGCCCTGTGCGCCGCCGTCAACCGCGCGCTCGACCAAGGTGGGTGCCGCCCGGCGAGCCGCGGGAGGTGACCTCTGCCCAGAGCCCGACAGAAGCAACGTGTGTCAGTCGGCAGAGAGGAGGCAAAGCCAGTTTTCTTAAAAAAAAAAAAAAAAAAAAAAAAAAAAGTCAATTGAAGTTGGGCATAGTGGCTTCTACCAACAATCCCAGCACTCCGGGCTGAGGCAGGAGGATCGCTGTGGATTCTAGGCCAGCCTGAGCTATGTAGTTTCAGGCCAGTCTCGTAGAGAGCGAGATCCTGTCACAGAAAGACAAATGAAAAAAAAAAAAATGAACGCTTGCCTGCAGAAGAGAAGGACAGACTATGGAAGGTTTCGTGCAAGGAAATCATACACGCCACGTCGTTTTCGTGTGTAGTGGTTGAGTAAGTACATAGAGCAAAGTGGGGAGGTTGCTTCGTGTTGTGCACCTGAGATGCCTGTCTGGACAACACGTTGGCTATTTATTTTATTTACTAATATTTATTTTATTTACAAATAAGATTTATTTTATTTGTATGAGCGTTTGCCTGCATGCTCGCCCTCTGCTCCATTTGCATGTGGTGTCCACGGAGGCCACAGGGCATGTCGATGATCCCCTAGGGCTGCAGCTAGAGAAGGTTGTGAACCACCATGTGGGTGCTGGGAATCGAACCCTAGTCCTTAGAAAGAAAGGTCAGTGCAAGTACCTACCTGCAGAGTTACCTCTCCTGCCCTGCTTTTTTTCTTTTCTTTTCTTTCTTTCTTTTTTTTTTTTTTTTTTAAACAGACAGACTCACTGAGTAGTCCTGTCTTGGGTAGAATCCAGACAACACTGTCCTCGACCTCACAGGGATCCTAGCCAACTTCCTCTAACTCACAGGGATCCTGGCCAACTTCCTCTCCCTCGTGAGTGCCCAGATTAGGCCTGAGCCACTCTGCCTTCTTTAACATGAATTTGATTTCATATTATTTGTAACTTATAAAAATATCTGTGAATTTTCTCTTTAAAGGGATACCAGTAACTAGTGCCTCCTACTACGCCACAGTGACCCTCGATCAGGTTCGGAATATATTTCGTTCAGACACAGCTGTGCCCATGCCTTTAATAGAAGAGAGACATCGAATTCTCAATGAAACTGGGAAGATTCTACTGGAGAAGTTTGGAGGCTCTTTTCTTAATTGTGTTCAAAACAGTGGAAGAAGTGCCCAGAAGCTAATGCACCTGATTGTTGAGAACTTTCCCTCCTACAAGGACGAGGCACAGTTTGAGGTGAGTTTTTCACTGAGAGATCTTAGCAACTGTGATCATTCTGAGTTCATGCTTTTCCTTCCAAAGCCAGGTTTAAGACTAGCAACTGAAAATTTGAAGTTTGTTTACTGTGGACAAGAAGCAATAACAAAAATTTGTTTAAAATCTATTCCTATTTATGTTTTCCAGTCAAGACTTTCCTTTATTTTGTCTTTTATTCCTTTAAAATGTTTCAGCCTACCATATAAGGCTGTCACTTGAGGGTAAGAAAGCACAAAAAGTCCAGAGCTGGATGAAAATCAGAATGTAGAACGTATACCAGTTTTTTGGAAAAAAGTATTTCTTGAAAAGCTTGGTGTGTGTTTTCTTTCTAATACACTGTTCTTTTATAATAACTTGTTTTATGATACAAAATAATTAAATGTATGTATTTTTTAAATGCTGAGCCTTTGTCTTTCCTAGTATACCCCTAGGTTTCATTTTTGTAAAATTATTTTGGGATCTTTGTCACTGAATATTTTTGTTTTTTGATTTATTTATTCTATGTGTATGAGCTGTGAGCTCTCCGTTTCCTGTACTGTGCCTTTGGCCATGCCTGCTGCATGCGTTGCCACCCTCTTCCCCCAGGGGCTCTTCCTCTGGAACTGTAAACCCAAATAAACTCTTCCTTTTCTAAGTTGCTCCTGGTCATGGTGTTTTATCACAGCACAAACAAACAACCCTCTCCCCCTGTTTCATTTCCTTTTTTACATATGTTTATTTTGTGTATAAATGTTTGATTGTCTATGTAAATGTGCCAAGTGCATACCTAGACTCCACAGAGTTCAGAAGAGGGTATTGAATCCCCAGGAACAGGAGTTAGGAATGATTGTAAACTACCATGTGGGTGCTGGGAACCAGCCTCCTCCCATTCCAAATTCCTTGATAGTGACTTTTTTAAAATTTATTTTTGTTTTATGGGCATTGGTGTTTAACCTGCATGTGTGTCTGAGTGAAGGCTTCAGATCACCTGGAACTGAGTCATCGACACTTGTGAGCTTCCATGTGGGTGCTGGGAAATTGAACCTGGGTTCTCTGAAAGAGCAACCAACCAGTGTCCTTAACCACTGAGCCATCTCTCCAGCCCCCATATAGTGGCTTTAGAAAAGGTGATTTCATAAAAGTAGGTCTGGATTGATGGTACCGGGTAAACTTTAAGGTTAAGTAATCGGTTGCTTGTCATTATGATAGAGTGTTTTTATATGATATCATTTTTTGGGTGCTTAAAATTTACTTGAGTTTTTTACATTTTTACTTATGTGTGTGTACACATTCATTTCATGCACATGTAGGCACACATAAACTGCCAGGCTTGCCTTAACACCTATGTGGATATTGGATATCAGAGGGCAGATTTTTAAGGGTCCATTCTTTGTCTCCTCTGTGGCTCAGGGATTGAATTCAGTTTATTGGGCTTGGTGGTAAGTGCCTTGTTTCATAAGCCACTCTCACCAGCCTTTTAGATGTTTTGTTTTCTTTGTTTTTGTGATGTTGCAGTCAAAGCAGGGCCTCTAGGACGCTGAACAAGTCCTCTACCACAGAGTAACACCCCCAGTCCACTTGAAGAGTTTCTGTATGGGATTTTCCCATCAGTTTATTTCAGAGGGTGCACAGTGTTGCACATAGCTAATCTCTCAGCACTTTGGAGACTGACAGGAGGATGAAGTTCCAGACGAGCCATGGTTACAGTGATCTTGTCACAAACAAAGATTTTTTTGTCACACACAAAGATATTTGCTAATTAAGATGTTCTCTTAGGTGGTAGTGTTGTTTTGAGAGCTAATTCTTGATTATTATTAATAGATGAGCTGATAAAACATAGATTAAGATTATAACCATTGGTACTGTCTTAGGGATTTATCGCTGTGGAGAGATACCATAACCGCTGAAACTCTTATAAAGAAAAGCATTTAATTGGATCTGGCTTACAGTTCAGAGGTTCAGTCCATTATCATCACGAAGCAAGACAGGAAGCATGGCGGTGTGCAGGCTGACATAATACTGGAGAAGGAGCCGAGAGTTCTACATCTTGATCCTCAGGCAGCAGACAGAGACTGTCCCACACTGGGCATAGCTTGAGCATAGGAGAGCTCAAAGCCCAGCCCTACAGTGACACACTTCCTCCAGTGAGGCCACACCCACTCCAACAAGGCCACACCTCCTAATAGTGCCACTCCCTGTGGGCCAAGCAGTCAGACACATGAGACTAAGGGGCCCATTCCTATTTAGACTACCATAGGTATTAAGACTAGGAATAGATTTTAATTATCCGTAGTCTATACTGCTACATTTGAGACATTTGGGGAAGGGGCAGACAGTTTTATGGAGAGTCTTGAGGGTGGGGAAGAGCTCAAGAGTCCAGGTCTTGACTTCATCTTTGCTAAAAGTGAGCCTTTTCTCCCCCAGACCTTGGGATTAAACCTGAGACTTCATGCACGCCCAACCAGTACTCACTGTGCTCAGCTCAAGTCTGTTACTTAGTCTTCTTGAGTTAAATTGTATCCACGACCTTATTCTGTGTTTAAATATAATGGACACTTTGCTTACATAGACTCCATAGGGACTTTTACTCGGTGGTAGATTTGATAAGACCTGGCCGACTGTTGTTCAGTTGTGTCTTTATCTCTATAAAATAAGTCTATCATTTGAAATGAAACAGTGTAAAAGTCAGTGTTGTGATTTTCTTTACTCAGAAGCCCAGAGATAATTATTTTCTTCATACTCCATTATTTTATACAGTGAATTATATAGTGTGAATTGTGCTCCCGTTAGATAAGTGTCCTCTTTTACTGTGCTTGGCAGTGAACTCAGAACAAGTGCTTAACCTCTGGGCCATACTCCCAACCACAGAGAAGCATGTTTTCAGTTAAAAAAAAATCCTGAAACAATGGTGTCTACACACAAAGATTATAACTAGTTGGATTATAGTAACATTGCTATATGAATGATACTGAAAATAGGTGCTAGGGGCTGGAGTGTTGTCTCAGAGGTAAAGAGCACATATTACACTTCCAGAGGACCAGCATTAGATTCCCAGCACCTCTGGGCAGCTCACCACCACCTGTAGCTCCAACTCCGGATATCTAACCCCTCTGGCTTCTGCAAGCATACATGTGGCATTACTCACACAGACACACATGTATGAAAATGGTTTAAAAAAATCTTCAAAAAAAGGAAATACTGGGATCTCAGGACAGAGCTGAATGCTGGCCTTGCACTCAGAAAACCCTGAGTTTGATCCCTCGACCTGGGGGTTGGGAGGAGGGAAGGAGGAGAAACAAAATGAATACTGAATGTTGAGTGGAACCAGCAGTGCATATTTTGTGTGCCTTAAAAACAAAACAAAACAAAACAAAACAAAAAAACCAATGAATTTGTGGTGATAATGCTAATTAGATACTTTTAAAATTATTTTTTGTTTTTTTTTGTTGTTGTTGTTGCTGGGCTTCGTAGCGCAGGCCTTTAATCCCAGCATTCTGGAGGCAGAGGCAGGCAGATCTCTGAGTTAGAAGCCAACTTGGTCCACAGAGTGAGTTCTAGGACAGCCAGAGTTGTACAGAGAAACCATGTCTCAAAAACCAAAAAAAGAAAGAAAAAAGGAAAAAAAAAAGAAAAGAAAAATTGTTTTCAACAAGTGTCCTTTTTAGGTGTTTTGGTTTTTAAGCTAGAGTCCAGCCAGTGCCCTTTATAAGTAGTGTACTGTAAGATTTCAGAATCCCCAGTAATCCCCAGTAACGTGGATTCTCCAATCACCAGGGGAAAAGGATCTCCTTCTACAAACGAGCGCAGATCCTCGTGGCGGACACGTGGAGCGTGCTGGAAGGAAAGGGAGATGGCTGCTTCGAGGACATCTCCAGCATCACCATGTTCGCTGACTACAGGCTGCCTCAGATTCTCGTGTACCTCGGAGCCCTCAAGTACTCCGACAAGTTACTGAAGAAGCTTCTCGAAGGTTTGCAGCCTAGCATCACGTTTGCTGCTCTGTGGTCTGTGGCTGGGTTTATTTATAGGCCGCTTTCTTCTGCTTAGGAAGCAGAGCACAAACTATATGAGAAGATGCATGCTGGGTGCGGCCTGGCTTCTGGCACTGGGAAGACAGAAGCGGGAGGGTGGTGAGTTCAGGAGCAGCTTGGGCTACAGAGGGCGCTCCTTGGTAAATGTAGGGCTGGGGCAGATTTATCTGAGGAACCAGTAAATGCAGAGTGCAATACTACGTCCCGCGAGCATCGAGACAAGCCAGCCAGACAAAGCCTCCATTGCTGAATTTAACTTGCGATTTTACCTGAGTGGCTAGGTTTCTCGATGATTTTTTCCCCCTCTTAATTCTTTCAGGAGAAATGCTCTTAAATGGAGATAGACAGGAAGTGGAAATTAGAGGCTGCTCCATTTGGTGTGTCGAGCTGATCCGGGACTGTCTCCTGGAGCTTCTTGAAAAAAGGGGCGAAAACCCTCCTGCTGAGATCAATTCGATTCTCCTGGACTATCACCTGTGGGACTACGCCCGCGAGCACAGGGGAGACATGAAGGAAGTCCCATTTCATCGCACACGCTGCATATACTACTGACCCTGAGCGTAGTAGGTCCAGTTGAAACACTTGCACTTTTAGATCCTACAGTCACTTCACAATTCTGATCCACTATAAAGATAGAAATTATGCTGGGCCATGGTGGTGCACGCCTTTAGTACCAGCACTCGAGAGACAAGAGGCAGGTGGATCTCTGTGAGTTCAAAGAGATCCTGGTCTACAGAGTGAGGGCAGCCAGGGCTACACAGAGGAAAGAAGGAAAAAGATAGGTAGAAGACAGAAATTGCAGGAATAAGCAATTGACTGTCCAGGCACCATTTTTTTTTCTTGGGGTAACATTGTGTTCCCATAATCATACTGCATAGCCTTCAGTGATGCTGTCCCATAATCATACTGCATAGCCCCCTCAGTGATGCTGTCCCATAATCATACTGCGTAGCCCTCAGTGATGATGTCCATGTCTTCAGTTGGTAGCATTTCTCCACTGGTAATCATTTAGTCATTTGTTTTTGTCTTTTCATTTTGTTTTAATGGACCTGGACATTAAACCTATGGCCTTGCGTAAGCCAGGCAAGTGCTCTACCACTGAGGCACTAACCCCAGCTTAGTTACTTTCTATATGCTACAATAATTTAATATTAAATAGAGGTACTCTTTGATGTATGAGCTATTGCTTTATAAAAATCAACTGTGAATCCTTGGTATGGTGGCACATGTAATCCCAGTACTCGGAAGCTGGGAGCTGTAGGGTCATGGGTTCTCAGCCATCCTGGACCACTCAAAAAGCAAAACTAAAGACATGCTTCTCCAGTTCAGAGCATTTGCTTCTCCTGTAGAGGGCATGAGTTGGTTCCCAGAACACATGCTGGGCACTGACAGCTCCTGGTAATACTAGCTCCATGAGAGTCAGTGCTCTCTGCTGGACTCTCTC